ATTAGCACTAGTTTGGTATGTGTGATACTAGTAGATGATCCATAATACAGGCCAACTTGTTTAGGTACAATTGATAAATACATGTGGTAGCAAAAAATTCATACAACTTTTGGACAAAATTCTGTAGAACTTTAGATGTTCCAGTCACTCTAGGTATGCCATCACTGGTTTTGGGAGAAAACATAAATTAATTTATTTTCACCATCCCTGTCAGAGCTTTAGACCAGCTTTAGATGAGAAAATGTCATGGTCTTTGTCAGACTCCTCTTCATAAAACTTTACCAATCAGCACACACAAATACCCCTAGTTCTTTGATTTTTCAGCATTGAACACCTGTTGAAACTGAGAAATATTATACAGATGATTGTTTCATATACATGTGATTCATTGAAAGTTTGCAGCAGAGATTATTCCGTCCAACTTATATGATAACATATAGTCTACTGCATGCAGTCAAATATTTTTCTTAGTTCTTATTTTTATTCCTGAGCAAATTGACAGATAAACATTTGATTTTAGAGCCACCAAATTTATATATGTATCTACCAAATGATTTATATAGGATCTCACATGATTTGTAGTTGGATATGATTTTTATCGAACGAGTTGTGTGGATTTTATCCCCGAGCCTTGGCGAGGGGATAAAAACACACAACAAGTTGGATAAAAATCATATCCAACTACTAATCATGCGAGATTCTTTTTATCCCGTGTTTTTACACATGGAACAATGTTTGACACTGTTTTTATATAGGACTTCATTTCATTTTACTTCATCACTCTTAACGCAAAATCCATTATGACGTCACAACTGCCTGATATAAAAACGATATCACATGAGCTATATCAACGGGATAAAGGTTTAAACATGGGATACAATAAAACTGTTCATACCTTCAAAATTCTTTCATGTATTGATGATAAATTTAATGTTGACATCAAGTTGTTTATCTTCTGAGGGTCTCCCAAACAGTACTGAAAATTATAGCTACAAAAAGAATAGAATTTTGAATTTTGGCCTTTGATATTGACTCGAAATGAAAAAGCATTTTATTCCGTAAATTACCGAGATCAAGCCGCAGTTTACCGAAAATTACAGCCTATTTGTACAAACACTTGTGCCATAGAATAAATGTTTAGTTTGTATATAAAAGTATATGTAAAAGAGAGAAAATCGGATCTGCCAATGAATATGTAAATGCGATATGCAGAATTAAAAGCGCGATTTGATAATGAATGGTATATTTTAATTCGAATAGGGCGAATTATTCTACGGGCAAGTTACCTAAGGTGCGAACTTTCTAGTCTCGTTCAACCAGACGCTCGGCTGTCTCCGTAAACTCCGACACCCTTCCACTGGGTGGTCGGAGATTTACGGAGACAGCCGAGGGTCTGGTTGAACGAGACTACGAACTTTCTAGCATTCTCGCGCAAGCGTAGCCTGTCGTTTGCCCAGGGCATCCGGTTTAACTTCGCTTATATATTTACTGCGTGGACCTCATGGTCCACGCAATGAATTAAATCTTTAAAAATCTTCTTCTCTGCTCCTGGGTATTAAAAAACTAATTAAGTACATAGTTATGATGAGCAAGAGTGCCTCTACCAAAATTGTGAAATTCATGGCCCCAGGTATTAAGTAAACAAACTAAGTAATTGCTAAGTGTATAGTTATGATTAGCAATGGTGCCTCTTTCAAAATTGTGAATGCCATAACATCTAGCTTAAAACATGAACCAAATTCAATAATTTGAAAGTTGTTGCATGTTGCTCAGGTGACCTACAAGGCCCATGGGCCTTTTGTTATATTAAATTCCAAATTTTTATTGCAAGTTTGATTGAAAAAAATGTTACAGGATATTGAAATTTGTTCTTTATTAACTTCATATTTAAAATCTTTGGAGGCTTTGGAGTAGCAGAAATAAAAATCCATGAAGCAAAGAAAAGTGAGAAGAGACGAGTCACAGTGAACTGTAGAATAGAGAAGAAGTACGTTGACGACGTGACAGAAGTGCTGGGGATCTTCATCTTCTACCAGCCGCTGTGGATGGTACCCCAAGCACGCGTCCTCCTGGCAGGGCTTACAAAGACCAAAGTGTGGACAGATCCCTACAACATCCGAATGTTCCCACAGTTCTCAGCAATGCTGAAGGCGAAAGATGCGAGTGGCAACTTGGGGCTAGGTGAATACATTGGACAGGATATTAGTATCCTTTGATAACACGATAATAAAATTGTGAAATGTTTTTTTTTTTTTTTTGTGGTCGGTACTCGATACAATGGTCTTGTCAGTAAATACAGAATATCACAAAGACAAAGACAAATTCTGATGAACTTTTTTCATGCTTATTATATGGCCATTATTTGCACACTGTATTGTCTTAGGATTTTTCTGTTTTTATTTCCCCGATCATGCAAGGAGTGCACTTGGCGGGTTTGACTGGTCGGCAATGGATGCTTACTCCTTCATGACACCTGATCCCACTTCTAATGTTTCTAATGTTTTATAGTCCCATGCTGTCTCCTGTCTTTCAAGCTTAAATATTGTTCATTTTCTCCAAGTTTCCTAATAAGATATTTAACAAATGTTATAATAAGTATCTGGAATACTAATACACTCCATTCATGTGTTTAGGTGAAGAAGCAAACTTTACTCTAAACATTCCTCTCGACGAATGCGATGCCCTTCCGGGAAACTTCCAGTGTGCAATGGCGGCTAAAGTGGAAGGACAAGCAAAGCATCCGGACCATAAACATTCAGAAATAGAGACAGAAATAATTCGAGCTGTTTTCAAACTGCAAAGATTAGCAGTAGCAAAACATACGAAAAAATGTAAGAAAAATTTATATACAGGTCATAAAAGTTTATATATTAAAAACTTGTCATCTTCACCATCAGTTATTTTGTTACCGTTTAGTCTTAAGGAGGCTCATTACACCACTTTTTGATGACGTACTACGCAAAAAATAAACCTCCATTGTTTCGACCATTTTACTCTGGGGACAAACTGTATAGGTACTTTTATAATATGACCCTGACCTTTAAAACGCTTTAAAAATAGATGAAACATGCGATGTTATGAACAGTGACACAGTAAAAACAAAGTAACGAATTCATTATGCATAAACCAAAAAGGATTCCTTTTAAGCCGAAACAAAAGAAAACAACAGCCAAATCTTCGCCAAACAAGTAATGTGCAAATTCATTGAGAAGCAGTGAGCTCTATCAATGACATGTTTGTTATGAGGAAATTCGAGTTAAAATCTACAATCTTGTTAAAATTAAAAAATGTTACTTCCTTGTACTATTTACTGTGTTGGTTTTTAGCTCTACTGGTCAGAGACCAGAATCTGAAATTTTCACTTCGTTAAAACATTCTTCATTCAATTTGTCACATGCAATTCATCGAAATACATTAATTTCTTTGTCTCTTCAGAACTCATTTTCTTAATATTTTATGCACAGATTAAAAAGAAAATGACATTAATTGTTTTTTTTAGGAGAAAACTTTTTTTTTTCTAATAAAATTAATATTAGGTATTATGAGGTATTTTCATTGTGTGTACTTGTCTAAAGATGTCCATCATTTGACACTGTAAGTTCTGAAATTCTGGTAATAATGAACTTGAAATCAAACATTTCACTAGAATTAGAAAAAAAAGTTCTCTAAAAATATTTATGATATCAATACCTCCATTTGGATATTAGAAATCTACATTGTAAATGGTAATGTAATGAAATTTAAATTAAACTGTGGATGTAATGAGCCACCTTAATGCATAATTTACGTCATAATTATATGGAAGCATCTGCAGGTGGTGTCGATTCAGGTTAGTTCAAATCATGAACCCCGGGGTAAGGTCGGGCTACAGTGGACGATCAAGGTTTTACATAAGAATGTACATGTATAGAGAAAATCTTTAAAAATCTTCTCAAGAAAAACAAAGCCATGATTGGACATATTTATACGGAATCATCCACAGGTGATGAAGATTCAAGTTTATTCAAATCATGACCCCCGGGGAAGGGTGGGCCTCAATGATCGATCAAAGTTTTACATGGGAATATTTAGTATAATAAACAGGCACCTGACGTTACTTATTTTTATTTTAATAAAAAAAAATACCCATACCTAATAATAAACGAAAAAATAAGTAACGTAGCTGCCTCTGGATAAATCTTCAAAAATCTTTTCGAGAACAGCAAAGCTATGATTGGTCATATTTATATGGAAGCAACCTCATGTGGTGTTGATTCAAGTTTGTCCAAATCATGATGCGGGGGGAGGGGGGGGGGGGTAGTAGGGCCACTATAAAAGTCCAAACTCATAGAAAAAATTCAGCTAATAAAAATGTGTACGCATACGTTTTTAGTGTAGATTCAATTTTGTTCAAATCATATTCCTTTTTCTCGCCATTGCTTTAGGTGAGATATGTGACACCAGGGCCTCTTGTTATTTTTAATTATCAAAACTTGTTTTTATTTGAAGGCAATTTTAAACTAAAGGCTGATGCATCTGTGTCGATGACTAAAATGTCATCGAACTGGGACTGGAGTGCGTTGAAAAGAGCTGACGGAATTAGTATAAGTCCAGCCGTCTACTGGATGATGGCTGCAGTTATGTTAGTAAGGATCACCTGTTAAAACGTGAAACATAATTTACTGATTAAGTTGAAAGTGTCGTCAGCAAGTGCATGAAGAAAGTTATGCTTTATTGAAACACTGAGAAATTCCTTCTTTTGTATTTATTTCATTCACTACATGTACACTGATTAAAAGGTTTATCTATATATAAAATACAGTGTACGTGGTAACTGTCTTGAAATATAAGCAATATTTGGGCGAGAGTAAGAAAAATTGATAGAGGGCGAGGCTTGCCGGAGCCCTCAAGATTACGTTTTCGACCCAAGACCAATTATCGCTTATATTTCAAGACAGTTATCATGTAGTTTGTTTATCCAGCAACATATTTTTTTTTTACATTTGAACGTCCAAAACTTGCTATTTTCGACAGATTTGGGCACATCCCTGCAGTTGAAACTATGACCATGATGACGCATGACGCATGGCACGGTCACTGCCCTAATTAGGGCAGTGACCGGATAAAGCTTTGCTTTACTAGGTTACCTTTATTAGGTCAATGCAAGGGGTAGTTGCAGGATAAACTTCATTATTCGATCACATGGAATTTTCAATTTTTTTTAAATACGCCATGTCTCAGCCTCAAAATCATATATGTATGCAAACTATGGGTTACATAGGTCGATATCGACCGAAGGATGAGCACACTAACAATGCCGCTGTTACATGATGCTACGTTGACAATGTCGCTGTTACATGATGCTACGATGACAATGTCGCTGTTACATGATGCTACGTTGACAATGTCGCTGTTACATGATGCTACGATGACCATGTCGCTGTTACATGATGCTACAATGACAATGCCGCTGTTACATGATGCTACGATGACAATGCCGATGTAATATGATGCTACAATGACAACGCCGCTGTTACATGATGCTACGATGACAATGCCGATATAACATGATGCTACAATGACAATGCCGATATAACATGATGGTACGGTGACAATGCCGATGTAACATGATGCTACGGTGACAATGCCGATCTAACATGATTCTACGGTGACAATGCCGATGTTATATGATGCTACAATGACAATGCCGATGTAACATGATGCTACAGTGACAATGCCGCTGTTACATGACGCTACAGTGACAATGCCGCTGTTACATGATGCTACGGTGACAATGCCGATGTTACATGATGCTATAATGACAATGTCGATGTTATATGATGCTATAATGACAATGTCGATGTAACGATGCTACAATGACAATGCCGATGTAACCTGATGCTACGATGACAATGCCGCTGTTACATGATGCTACGGTGGCAATGCCGATGTAACCTGATGCTACGGTGACAATGCCGATGTAACATGATGCTACAATGACAACGCCGCTGTTACATGATGCTACGGTGACAATGCCTATGTAACATGATGCTACGATGACAATATCGATGTAACATTATGCTACAATGACAATGTCGATGTAACATTATGCTACGGTGACAATGCCGATCTAACATGATTCTACGGTGACAATGCCGATGGAACATGATGCTACAGTGATAATGCCGCTGTAACATGATGCTACGGTGACAATGCCGATGTTTTATGATGCTACAATGACAATGCCGATGTAACATAATGCTACAGTGATAATGCCGCTGTAACATGCTGCTACGGTGACAGTGCCGATGTAACATGATGCTACAATGACAATGCCGATGGAACATGATGCTTCTGTGACAATGCCGATGTAACATGATGCTACAGTGACAGTGCCGATGTAACATGATGCTACAATGACAATGCCGATGGAACATGATGCTTCTGTGACAATGCCGATGTAACATGATGCTACAATGACAATGCCGATGTAACATGATGCTTCTGTGACAATGCCGCTGTAACATGATGCTACAATGACAATGCCGATGTAACATGATGCTACGATAACGCGAAGGTGCGATGGCGAGGTGACGATGAATAGATTGCATGGTAACATGCTTACAATGGTACTAATGTGCGAAATAACAAAAATGTATACTGCATTATCGTCATCACACCACAGTCGTCGCACCGTCGTCATTTCATCGCTTTTGATCTACTAGTATCGTTCAAATTTCACTGCGTTGCTTCATTACTAAATCCTCATCATTGCCAGTGCTTTATCGCGTTATCAAATCAAAGTTCTAATGCGCAGTGAGAATTTAAGTATAATACTATCCGGATTCATGGGCCAGGTTTTCCTTATCACATTATCAGGTGTGAGGTGAAGGTGCGATGGAATGAGCACACGACGCGATGGTGATGACATTGGTACGATAATGATGAAGAGACGTTCAACATCGCTCTATGGCAGTATGATCATTGAGTTTACACCGTCGCGTCATCATCATCGCACCAAAACTCTGTTGTCCCAACGTCGGTTGGATTCTATGCACGTATGATGCTAATTTTTTCTCCGTTCCCTCTCCCTTTTTGTATGTCGCCTTTGATAAGTCTCTTTTCTTCTCATCTATTTTTGTCGCCTGTGGTATTACTAGGAAAATTATTGACAAACAAGTTGATGAAACAAAAATATTAACAGTCTCGTTTATAGTCATCATTTTGTAAGTTCTATGGTCGATACAATGGTCTTGTCAGCAAGTTCAATCTATCAATCATTAAGTCAGATGTTGACAGATTTATTTTACTCGAATTGTTAAGCCCCTATTTATACACTGAATTGTCGACGAATTTTTCCGTTATTTCCTCCTATTATGAAAAGGAGCAGACGGCATTTGACCGGTCGGCAGAGAGTGCTCACTCCTCCATGACATCCAATTCCATTTTTGATGTTATAGTGGTCAGTGTTTGTTGTTGTATTGTTTAGTTGACCTTTTAGCTAATTCGTTATCTCCATATTTCATTGTAGTCGATTTCAATTTCAATCCAAAAGTAGTGCTTTGTTGCATTCTGCTAAAAAATTAATTTAATCAAATCATTTACTATTATTTATGTAAATTGACAATTTTTCTGTAAATTAGGACCATTATCAGCTTAGTTTGGACTTTCAGTAAGGCGTGGAATTCTTGACGTTGCCTAGTAATTAGCTTCTGAAGTTTACACAGCTTTCTTTAACTGTTGAAATATACATAGGATGGAAATTCGTCCGAATGTCAAGTGGTGTAGTAAATAGCCAATTAAAAGTTTTCTCACGATACAGAGGTGGGGCAAAAGTCGTCTCATCGTTGTCAACAACAATTTAAAGTTCCTGATGTTATTACTTTCTTAACTAATGAGAATCTACTAGTATTCGACATTACGTAGCGCCGAGAATGCCACACCCTGCTGAAAGTCCAAACTAAGGTGAAAATCGTCCCAAAACATGACCAAAGTTATCTTCACTGTGGACTTTTATGAGGAATATTTTGATGCTTTCATAACGATTGTATATACTGTTTTTGAAATCTTTCATTTCAAAATTTTATAACTATGAATCAAGCTTTTTATCACTTTATTCCGACATGTAGGCGGTAAATCGGCGCGGACTGTTTTATCTCCAAAATTTTATGCCACGCATGATTCTGCTGATATTACGAGATTAGGTGTCGATAACCGACATGACAGAAATATATCACAGTGATGTATTTCAATTTTGCCCTATTTTAAAGCATTAAAAATCCATAAATAATGTGTGTTTTAAGAGATTTTATTGCATTGTAAAGCTGCAGGGTGTACGTTTTTGTTAATCATAAAGCCATAAAAATGTAAGCATAAGAGAATGTTAGAAACTAGCTAAACAGTGCTTAAAATGTCATAAATCTGCGTAAACCCAGATTCCAATTGATATGCTTATTTCTTATAAAATCTATAAAAAAAGTAAAATAATTATTCTAATAATTTACTCTACAACGTATGTAAGGTGTCTATGAATTTGGAAAAGAAGTCTATCTTCAATGAACCGTGTTCACAAATTGTACTCTAGGAGAGTTGAATATTTCGTTTCTTCTCCCCCATAATTCACGTTTAATGTCACGCGAGAGTCTTTCGTGATTTGAACGGGTCCTTCCCACACGTCACTTCCGGAGTTTTTAAGCTGAGTCCATGTATCATTAACAGTTACCGCTACAGCTTTAGCTTTGGGTACAGTCGCCTTAAAATTGACAGTCCCGTTGTTATTGGCGATTGTAAGCGGTTCGTACAAATAACAGCCTTCTTTCCATTGAGCGTATTGTTTGGGGAACGGTTGTACTGGTTTCGGGGCCCGGGTACAGTTGATCAGGTAGTTGTACACTCCCGGAAGTGTCTTACTTTCGTCGCTGACGGGGAGGGCGTAGATCTGTAACTTGTAATAGCCTGGGTTGGGCATCTGGACGATATAGCTCACCACGTCCCCCTGGGTCTGGGTGAAGAGGAGACTAGAATAGTCTTTGGTGGAGCTGCACTCTATCAGGTTCCCAGTGACCTTGACCGGTTGACCCATGCGAAATTTGACCTCTATCTGGAAATAGAAAATAATGAAGTTTGAAGGAAGAGCAAGGATATGATTAATGAGCCTTTAAGATGTGTAGAGCTTTTTAATCAAAGCTACACGAAGTTGGTTTTGCTTTTGATAAATTTAAAAAGATTCGTCAGTCGTGGGTGTTTTTGTTATCTCTATGTTTTAACTTGAGATGCTTTTTTCTTCTATTTTTCATTTTCATTTATCAGTAAAGCTGTTGGAATCAGATCAGCTAAGTCTAATCACCAACAAGCTTTTTAGATAACCCCACGTTTAATCATATTACTGACCAATTCAACACTTGTGAGCAGTTTTCCTTTCTGGACATTACCCGTGCTACAAGTGGCTCAATAAGATAACGGCCTTAACATGTTTTCATCTCGCGCAAATGCACGCCGATTTTTTGTGAGAAGAAAAAAATCTACTCTTACATTAAACATTTGTAGAACTTTTACTAAGATGTGATATGACAAGAATGATAAATTCCCAATCTTGGAGAATGGACAATACTTGAAACTAAGAAATGGGGGAGAGGGTGTTCACTGTTTTATAAATTATTTTAGAAGCGGGATTTAAACAGAAGCGAAACACTGTGAAACCTGTGTAAAAGCTCAAACAGAAAAAGGGCATCTTTTTCTGTGAAATATCTAGAACTGTT